TACAAAAAATATTTATTTTATACATATTATTGTTGAAGCATTTTTAATTTTATTTCCAAGCAACTGTAATTCTTCTAGATTAAGAATAATTAAGAATAAAGATCAATTATATTCTTTAATTTTAGAATTATTGTCATATTTTTTAAAATTTAAAATAAAAATTTTTTTAAATTTAATAAAAAATCTAATTAAAAGTTTATTCAAATTATTAAATATTTAAAGTAAAAAAAGTGTTTTCAGGAACAGAAAAAAATTATTTTTAATAATGTAAATATGTAAAAATTTAATTATTAATATTCATTGTTGAGATAATTTCAGATAAAATATTATGAGAATTAAAAATATTAATTTCAAATTTTCATTCAAGAAAAAAGATTCAACTCTAAGTATAGAAATAAATCTGCTAGATCGACTTTTTAAATATGATACATAGTATCTATAAAATTTAAATATCGAATTTAAGATTGAAATCACTTAGCTCAAAATGTATGTGTATTTTAACTTCGTGGCATACACGATGTAAATTTGAAAATTCGACAAGAAAATCACGTAATCTACAATGCGCATTGCAATATATGTATATGTAGCAATTGATATAATCCTAGGTTCTAAAAAAGGTTTTCTAATTCTTTCTTTAATATCAGTAATCAAAAGAAGTAAAAATATTTAAAAATTGTAAAAGAAGATTTATCTACTGTAATATTTTTTAGATTTTACTATCAGTTAAAGGAAAAGAACCATAATTGTTCACATTTCATATACATTATTCTTTCTTTGCCGCAATGCAGAAGTATATGTCGTTAATACTGCAGTAAGAAAACTATCACACGCAATATACACAGCTCTACTTCTTTCTTATTAATAGTATTTTTATAAGAAATCCTGCAGGATACATTTTTATATATTTTATTATTAAATCATATTTTAAACTATTCATATGTAATTAATTTATTATAACATTAATAAATACTTCCTAATTTCTATAATCAAAGTCAAGAATTTATTATTCCAATTATGCAAATATAAAATTAAAAAAGCATAAACTAAATGAAAATAGTTTGCATATACATCTATGTTTCAATTAAAATGACATTTAATTTTTGTATTCTTTCATATATGTATTTTTTTAATAATTATATTGCAGAATCAATATATTATGTCTACATATTTATATTATATAATTTTTATTTAATAATTCTATTACATTAAAATTATTTATTCAACGTTTTACTGCCTATGTCAGAGGTTTATATGCTTCCTTTATCTAGTCGAGATATCTATGATGCAATAAGATATGGCTAAAGTGCGCTCGTCAGGGAATACATAGCATATTTCGAAGGAAGTTTACGAGTACTCTAAGCTTCCCACTAAATCTTGGCTCAGAGAGTTACGTATATATAAAAATATATACGGTAGATAAATATATACAGTAAATCTCCAAAATAAAACCCCTTCACATATAAGTGTATATGTCGCTAATGCATGACATAAAATAATCATGATAACATAAAAGAATGATCTGAACTTCCAATTCGCGCATAAAATGATGTTTGACATACTAGAAAATAATATATACGATAAATCAATATTTCTTATATAACTTTTGCAGGGCGAGGATTTATTTTTAAAATCGTTTTTCCTTGAGCGGGATTTGTCATACTTCAGTATTTCATTAAATTCTTTGTTTAAAAATATGACTATTTCAGTGACACTATAAAAACTTTTCTATTTTGTATAGATGAAATATATTGTATTTTCTACAATTACAATATTAAGTTAATAATCCGATATGTTAGCTATTTAATTTACAAATTTATTTATATTTTGCATTATTTATTACGTTAAAATTTGTAATAAAACTTAACTTTATTTTCAAAATTTCATATAAAACCGCTTATCTCTCTCTATTATGCTGTTTAATATTTTATATAATACAAGTAGATGTCTCTATATATACACACACACACACACACACACTCACACACACACACACACACACGCGCGCGCACGCACGCACGCACGCACGCACACACGCACGCACGCACGCACGTACATAGTATATGGGGTATTCTCCGAACGGACCTCCACCTGTCTAATTTTGAAAAAAATGATGGCGGCCGATCACAGATCATTTCACAGTCTTAGCAAAATTCAATATGACTCGTAGTATGGTTAAACTAGAAATTGTAAAATTCACACAAAAATATTATTAAATATAAAGACAGTTTCTGGCCTTCTTTACTTTATTTGTGTTGAATAATATAAAACGATAAATCCTATTATTTTAAAATATCCTTTTATTCCTAAAGTTACATTTTTTATAAACTTTACTTTTACAGTTACAAAATTTCTTTACCTTATTAAATAACATTTAAATGTTTTCGCTATTTTTTAACAGCTACATTGCTAATGTAATTAGGTTTAGCAATTACATTGCTAATGGTTGGTGAATTAGTTAAATTCACCAACCACCTGTTCAGCAATACATTACGATGGAAAATATCAATCTGCCATCTTGAATATGCCATTTTGAATCCAGAAAAACAGACGACTCTTGAAAGTAGATGTCACAAGCCATTTAATTTGAGCCGTCGAATCTCATTTTTTGCAAAACTGTTCTGAGCAGGGGAGGAGTCCGTTACGAAAAATGTCTCATACATATACACTGTATAATTTTAAATTATATAATTATAGAAAATAGCTGTTTTTAAATGTACCTTGGATTATTTATGACATTTTTATTTCAATACAATGAATAAATATGATAATTTTTTATTTTTATAGCAAAGCTAATCCTAATCTTATAGTATTATAATATCTAATAATAATGAGAAAGTATAAAAAACTGCAAGATTTTTGTATATTAAAATATAGAAATATTAATTTATCCATTAAAAGATCGCTTATGTTTTCATTTACTAATCGATTTTGATGCTAGGAAATAACTTTAAAGATATAACTTTAAATAACAGCAGCTTTAATTCACAACAAACCTTGTCATCAAGCATTGTACGTGTTCAATATATAGCAAACATGATAAACATGCAGGAACAATTCATAAATTGTCGATAATGTCACGTGACTAATTAGAAATTAATTAACATGCTTAAACGCATGCTATGACAATATGAAACACCCAGCACTTACACTCAAGACATTTCATGCAACAAATACAACACACACTCTCTCTGTTGAACGTAGTTGTGCACAATACCTGACGATTGTTTTGCACTCAATATTCCAAATCGCTAGCACGTCGAAATTAGGGGCTTCCTCCGAAGTAGTCACCTCAGTGTTACGTATCGGCGTAATAACAGCGATATGCCGATATTTTCAAGATGTTGAATAAAAATATGATCGCGGAAATATGCAAATTTGAATTTTTTTGTAAATATCTACAAAATATCTCAGTTTTGCAATTTTTCCCGCTTGTATCTTTCAGCTTCTTACATCCATTCAAGATAATTGACTAGTTTTATAATACTTTTTTCTAGAGAATGGCCCCAATATATAGAATAGTTAAATAGGTACAGTTATAATTTGTGCTCTAACGCACAAATTGGTCGAATAAATCTCCATACGGATGAGATTTCATCAAAAAATGGTCTCTTTCTTTTGGTCCACTTATCATATCCAGACAAGATCTCAAGTTGATTTCAATGTTACGAATGATGCAACTTCTTCATTTCGAGATGTTCGTATTGTTTCTCGATGGTTCTTAGAGCATATAAATAGTCTAAACCAACTCCGAGCAAAAGATAACTGTAATAAAAAATAGCAACAACATTTAAAATGCTATTTAATAAGTTAAAGAAATTTTGTAACTGTAAAAATAGAGTTTATAAAAAATGTAACCTTAGGAATAAAAGGATATTTCAAAATAATAGGACTTATCGTTTTATTATTCACAAATAAAGTAAAAAAGGCCATATTCGGCCGAAACTGTATATCTTTATATTTAATAATATTTATAATTAATAATAATATTAATATTTTTGTGTGAATTTTACAATTTTTAGTTCAAGCATACTACGAGTTAATTGAACTGAAATTTTAAAATTTACACAATAATATATTAAGCGCAAAAATCATTTTGATCAAATATCTACGACTTTCGTTTTTTCATATTTCTCGATAT